CTTCCTGTGTTCCTCCTGGTGCATGGCAATGCCTGGCCTCATGTGACAAGAGTACGCAGGCAGTTCCTGGATTCCTGGAGGATGAAGGAATTGAAGCCATTGAATGGCCCCCACGCTTACCTGAACTAAATCCAATAGAACACCTCTGGGATATCATGTTTCAGTCCATCTGACACCACCAGGTTGCACTTCAGACTGTCCAGGAGCTTAGTGATGCCCTGGTGCAGATCTGGGAGGAAATACCCCAGGACACCATCCGTCTCATTATTATTATTATTATAATACAGTATTTATATTGCGCCAAAAGGTTTGCTCAGCGCTGTACATTATAGTGGGGGACAGAACATGAGACAATACAGTAACAAAACAATACACGAGGGGTTCGAGGGCCCTGCTCTTTTGACAATCTAGGAGGGAGGGGATAGTGGTACAGGAGGAAGTGGCTGTGGGGGATGGAGTTGTAGGAGGAGTGGAGGAGATCAGCTGTTAAGTGAGGGTGGGGTAGGCTTCCCTGAAGAGATGGGTTTTCAGGGGTGCAACTAAAGGTGAGGAGGGTAGGTGACAGTCTGATGGATTGGGGTAGTGAGTTCCAAAGGATGGGGGAAGTCCTGGAGAAGTCCTGCAGTCGGGGGTGGGAGGAGGAGACCAGGGAGCTAGAAATTAGGAGGTCTTGTGAGGAGCAAAGAGTACGGGTTGGGTGGTATATGGGTATCAGGTCGGTGAGGTAGTTTGGGGCAGCGTTATGAATGGCTTTGTATGTCAGTGTTAGTATTTTGAATTTAATGCGTTGGGCAATCGGAAGCTAGTGGAGGGAATGACAGAGGGGGGGGGTGGCAGAAGCGGAGCGGTTGGTAAGGTGGCTGAGTTCAGGATAGACTGAAGCGGGGATAGCCTGTGTTGGGGTAGGCCGGTGAGAAGGGAGTTGCAGTAGTCCACACGTGAGATAATAAGGGAGTGAACAAGTTGTTTAGTAGTGTCTGGGGTTAGGAACGTATGTATTTTGGAGATGTTGCGGAGGTGGAGTCTGCATGAGTTTGCCAACGATTGGACATGGGGTTGGAAGGACAGGTTTGAGTCTAGAGTGACACCTAGGACTTTGGCTTGCGGGGTGGGACTGATGGTGGCGTTGTTGGTCATGATGGAGAGGATGGGGGGGGGGGGGGCACGGGCTGGGGGGAAAATTAGGAGCTCGGTTTTAGAAAGCTTCAATTTGAAGAAATGGAGCGACATCCAGTCTGATATGTCGTTCAGTAGGTGGGCGATACGGGCGGAGACTGAAGGGGTGAAGTGAGGGGTGGAGAGGTAAATTTGCGTGTCATCGGCGTAGAGGTGGTAGTTGAAGCCGTGGTAATGTATCAGTTTGCCGAGGGAGGAGGTGTATATGGAGAAGAGAAGGGGCCCGAGGACAGAGCCTTGGGGGACCCCAACAGAGAGGGGGAGGTGGTAGCGTTATAGGTAATGCTGAAGGAGCGTTGGGATAGATAGGAGGAGAGCCATGAGAGAGCGGAGTCTCTGATGCCAAGGGAGTGTAGTTTATTAAGGAGGAGGGGGTGGTCAACTGTGTCGAAGACCGCGGAAAGGTCGAGGAGTAGGAGGACTGAGTAGTGGCCATTAGCTTTGGCGGTTAGCAGGTCATTAGTGATTTTGAGTAGGGCGGTTTTGGTGGAGTGTAGGGGACGGAATCCAGACTGTAGGGGATCGAGGAGGTTGTTGTCAGTGAGGTGGGAGCTTAGGCGATTGTAGACTACGTGCTCAAGGAGCTTGGATGTAAATGGCAGCAGGGAGATGGGTCTAAGGTTGTTCAGGTCGGTGGGGTCCAGGGAGGATTTTTTGAGTATGGGGGTGATGTGCACGTGCTTTAGGGGGGAGGGGAATACGCCAGTAGAGAGCATGACCATTAGACCATTAGGAGCATGCCCCGACATTGTCAGGCATGCATACAAGCACATGCGGTCCATACAAACTACTGAGTACCATTTTGAGTTGCTGCAATGAAATTTCAGGAAAATGGACTAGCCTGCTGCATAATTTTTTCACTTTGATTCTCAGGGTGTCTTTGAATTCAGTCCTCTGTAGGTTGATCATTTTCATTTCCATCAAATGATAAGGCATCCTTATGTTCTTAACACATTACCCAGTCCATATCAGTCATATCCAGCATGATATTTTTCCCCATTGAGATCTGATATGTTTTCAAATCCTATCTATTTACTAATTCTAGCAGCATAAGGGTTAAAAATAGTCAACGTTGGTTGAAAGAGTGGTGTTCCGCTTTAAGGTAGCAGTTGATTGGTTTCCATGCACAACTGCACCAGATTTTGCACTCTCCAATTTTAGTAAGTCTACCAAAGTGAGAGGAACTGATGTTGTTTCTCCCACTGTATGATGTCAGAAACCAGAAGCAACAAGGATTTCATCACTTTCAGTTTAAGTTTCATGTAAACAAGCCAATACCGCCTTGTGAAAGCATTTGATAAAACCAATCTTGGTTTGATTAGATGCCTTGGAGACCAGAGGAGAGATATGGGGTATAATGGATCCCAGATTTCTACATAAAGGGGACCTCCATGCTATCACAAGGGATGTTATTCATCCCTTGGGATAGCAATAAAAGTGAGCTAACAAAATATGAAAAGGACAGAGTGCTTGTTTAAAAAAAAATAAAAAATGGAAGTGCCCCTATTCCCCTGTGTGACACGCAAATGTGTAAGCACACATAGATCCTACTTGCATATGAAAACGGTAATCACACCACACATGTGCGGCATCACCGCAAACGTCTGAGCAAGAGCAATAAAGTTAGCACCAGACCTCATGTGTAAGTCTAAACTGGTAACATCTAAAGACTTTTAAAGTGTAATACATGGAGATTTTTTAGGTTCTGTAGTTTGGCACCGTTCCATGGGTGTACACAATTTTAAAACATGACGTGTTTGGTATCTGTTTACTCGGCATAAAATCATGTTGTATATTCTACCAAACAATTGGGTATTTTATTGTTTTTATACATTAAAATTCATTAAAGTGTATTTTTGCATTTTTGTATTTGAAAAATTGCTGCATAAATATTGTATGACATAACAATATGCAACACCTATGTTATATTCTAGGGCATCTGCTTTAAAATATATCATATTTTGGGGTTCTAAGTAAATTTATAGCAAAAAATTATATTTTTAACATATAGGAGAGGAATGTCTGAACTGGCCAGGACTGGAATTAGTTAACTTGCAGGGTAAGATGCAAACATTGCAGTTGATTTACTGAAACAGAGATTATTCACTTTACAAAATTAATTTTTGCTTAGTTTATTTTAAAAAACGTAAAGCTGTGCTTTTGGGTTTAAAACAATGGTCATCCTCTTTTACATTCCTGAGGATGCTTGTTATGGTGTGGATATTTTTTCTTGGAGGTTGAGGGGGGTGGAGTCAGCCTTGGGCACCTAGAGGAAATTATCGTGGGAGTTTCAAAATTGTGCTACCAGTGGGAGGGGCCTAAAATTTTAGTTTACTCATTGTATACCTGTAACATATAGCCAGTCCTTTAACCACTTGCCTACCGGGCACTTATACCCCCTTCCTTACCAGGCCAATTTTCAGCTTTCAGCACTGTCGCATTTTGAATGACAATTGAACGGTCATGCAACCTTGTACTCTTAGGTAATTTTTATAATTTTTTTCTCACAAATAGAGCTTTCTTTTGGTAGTATTTACTCATCGCTGGGTGTTTTATTTTTTGTGCTATAAACAAAAAAAGAGCAAAAAAAAAAAAGTTTCTTTGTTTCTATTATAACATTGTGCAAACAGGTAATTTTTCTTCTTCACTGATGTGCATTGATGAGGCTGCACTGCTAGGCAGCACTGATGGGCACTGATAGGCAGTACTGATAGATGGCACTGATAGGCAGCACAAATGAGGTGGCACTGATTGGCGGCACTGATAGGTGGCACTAATCGGTGGCACTGATAGGCAGCACTGATGATCTGGCACTGATAGTCGGCACTGATGAGCTGGCACTGATCATGGGTACTGATAGCCAGCACTGATAGTGCCCTGATGATCGGTGCCAATCCCTGCTCTGACAACTGCCAAGAACAGCGTCACGCTGTGACAGCGTGAGGAAAGTGCAGCCGAGAACCGGCAATTGCATTTGCTGGTGATCAGTGTGTCATTGGACATGGCTGATCACGTGGTAAAAGGCCGCTGTGATTGGCCTTTTACCACATCACGTGATCAGCTGTGTCCGTAGAAAAAACAAACAAGCAAGATATACCTGTGCTCAAATTCCAATAGCTAGTACATGCATTAATCTATCAGGTGCTAAAGGGGTGTAACCACATGTTAACACTAGAAAGTATGAAGGACCCTCTGCATACTGGTATATACCCTTTCAAGCAGACTATGCAATAAATAGGGATATTTAGTTCACACATATTGCAATATGCATATGACGGCCTCCCAGAACTGGCCGGCCATAGTGCAGCCACAGTGCAGCCGTCATTCAGCTACCTGCGGTCGGCAACTGGTTAAACCCAAAAATATCCTTTAATTAAAAGTGGTCAGGAGTAACACACAGAGCACATGGGTCAGGAGTGCATAAAGCACAGGTCAGGAGATGGAGTACAACAAAAAATTACCTTGTTAGCGAATTTACTAAACATGTGTGGTAATATACACTGTGGTGTTTATTTAATAAAGCTGGTTCACTGAGAATCTTGTGTATTTCTGCACAGAAACCAAGCAGCTTACAGGTTGTATTGCTTTATTGCTTAAAGCTTGATTGAACAAGAAGTAGGTGATTGGCTACCAGGTGCACAAGAGTCTGAGTGAACCAGCTTCAGTAAATAAAGTCATGTGTGTATATATATATATATATATATAAATATATATATATACATATACACACACTATATTGCCAAAATTATTGGAACACCCCTGCAAATCATTGTATTCAGGTATTCCAATCACCTCCATGGCCACAGGTGTATAAAATCAAGCCCCTAGGCATGCACACTGCTTCTACAAACATTTGTGAAAGAATGGGTCGCTCTCAGGAGCTCAGTGAATTCAAGCATGGTACTGTGATAGGTTGCCACCTGTACAATAAGTCCATCTGTGAAATTTCCTTGCTACTAAATGTTTCCACGGTCAGCTGTTAGTGGTATTATAACAAAGTGGAAGCAACTGGGAACAACAGCAACTCAGCCACTAAGTGGTAGGCCACGTAAAATGACAGAGCGGGGTCAGCGCATGCTGAAGTGTAGTGCGCAGAAGTCACCAACTGTCTGCAGTCAACAGCTAAAGACCTCCAACTTCATGCGGCCTTCAGATTAGCACAACAGTGCGTAAAGAGCTTCATGGAATGGGTTTTCATAGCAAATCAGCTGCATCCAAGCCTTACATCACCAAGTGCAATGCAAAGCATCAGATGCTGTGGTGTAAAGAACGCCGCCACTAGACTGTAGAGCAGTGGAGATGTATTCTCTGGAATGACAAATCTCTTTTCTTTGGCTATCCAATGGACGTGTCTGTGTTTGGTGGTTGCCAGGAGAACGGTACTTGCCTGACTGCATTGTGCCAAGTGTAAAGTTTGATGGAGGGGCGATAAAGTTTGATGGAGGGTTGTTTTTTCAGGAATTTGCTTTGGCCCCTTAGTTCCAGTGAAGGGGACTCTTAAGGCATCAGCATACTAAGACATTTTGGACAATTTCATGCTCCCAACTTTGTGGGAACAGTTTGGGGATGTACTGATCCAACATGACTGCGCACCAGTGCATAAAGCAAGGTCCATAAAAACATGAATGAGTGAGTTTGGAGGGGAGGAATTTGACTGGCCTGCACAGAGTCCTGACTTAACCCGATAGAACACCTTTGCGATGAATTAGAGCAGTGGCTGCGAGCCAGGTCTTCTCATCTGACCTCAGTGCTTGACCACACAAATGCTGTTCTGGAAGAATGGTCAAACATTCCCCTAGACACACTTCTAAAACTTGTGGACGGCCTTCCCAGGAGAGTTGAAGCTGTTATAGCTGCAAAGGGTGGGCCACCTCAATATTGAAACCCCGTGGACTAAGACTGGGATGCCATTAAAGTTCATGTGCACGTAAATGCAGGTGTCCCAATACTTTTGGCAATATATTATGTGTAGAGAATGTTCTGAGCGGATGCCAAGATCTCACAATAACATCCCGGCCAGTCAGTTCAGATTTTCTACCTGTCAGGATCAGACAGGAATCAGAGATGGGATTTGCATGAGAGGAAGAAGACTATAAAATACTGAATATCCTCCTTTACCTAGAACAGCGGTCACTAAATGGCGGACCACGGTCCATGAACGGCCCCAGCAGTGCTGCTGCCCAGACCACCAGCCCGAAATGACAGATCCGCCGCTGAGCAGGGTGGTCATCATGGCAACATGACATCACGTGTGCACCTCTTTCATCTCACTGTCTCTCTGGCTCACGCTCCCTGCCTGTACACAAGCGTCAAGGATCCCGGCACAGCTTCTGCTGCCCTCAAGGTAGGGTGTAGTCTTACAGGGGCGCACTGATGGGCACAACAAAGAATGTGCCTGCCCCTTAACATAACGTGCCCATCAGAGTGCCCCTTAATATAAATGTGCCCATCAGAGTTCCCCTTAACATAAAATGTGCCCATCAGCATGCCCCTTATTTTATGTTAAGGGGCACTCTGATGGGCACATTTTATGTTAACGGGCACTCTGATGGGCACATTTAATGTTAAGGTGCACTCTGATGGGCACAACATAGAATGTGCCCATCAGAGTGCCCCTTAACATAAAATGTATCCATCAAAAGTGCCCCTTAATATAAATGTGCTCATCAGAGTGCCCCTTCATATAAATGTGCCCATCAGAGTGCTCCTTATCATAAAATGTGCCCATCAGTATGCCCCTTATTTTATGTTAAGGGTGTCTCTGACAGGCACATTTTAGGTTAAGGGGCACTCTGACAGGCACTTTTTATGTTAAGGGGGCACAAATGGACACATACTGTGGAAAAGGGGCACTCTGATGGGCACATGTGATGGAAAGGGGCACTCTGATGGGGAATATGATGTAAAGGGGCACTCTGATGGGAAAATATGATAGAAAGGGGTACTTTGAGTGTAAGGGGGCACTCTCACGGGAATACCTGATGTAAGGCGGCAATGTGATGGGGATACCTGATGTAAAGGGGCACTCTGATGGGGACAACTGATGTAAAGGAGCACTCTCATGGGCACACCTGATGTCATGGGAATACATGATGTAAAGTTGCACTTTGATGGTGACACCTAATGTAAGGGGGAACACCCTATTCGGACCTTGGCCAGAAGAAAATTTTAGTGACCAGGCCTTCTTGAATTTGAATTCAATACCCCTGACCTAGAATGAGGTATATGGCATAGCTCCCGGCTGTCCCTCATATGGAACCAAATCCCTCTGTCCCTCTTTCTTCATCAGTTGGCCTGATCTCTATAATGAATGTATTAATTAAGTATGAAAAGTGTTTTACTGCCCTGCCCTACACATTTCATCAACCCCTAAATGATTGCATTTGTTATGTTGAAAAGCCAGTAAAGGAAAAGTTGTGGCTGAAAAAGGACTTGTGGACTTGGGTTTAGCCAAATATTTTGCTTATTATTTAATTCTGGTCAACCTAACCAGGGACTTTGATGTGCCTGTTCTTAGCCTATAAACTTTGTGCCACAATGTGTACGTTTTTCTCATCTTATAATTTTGGAAGATGTATTAAAAGCGCTGAGCAAACTGTTGGCACTATATAAATCCTGTATAATAATAATAATTTGGCATAGATAAGGGAGAAGTTATGGGGGCTCAAACCCCAACAGACCATCTATCTGTGGCACAGTAACTTTTTGTGCCCAATGAAGGGATTGACAGGCCGCTAGGACAGAGAAGGAACACTGTCTCTGCTTCAGTGGCTAGATGAGCCCCACCCACTGAACACAAAGGGAAAGAAGGAAAAAGAGTGGCTGTGAACTTGAAGCCTCACCACTATTCAATGGAAATCAGAGGTAGGGAGAGGACTGGGGGCACAGACCAGGGTTACCAACTGTCCATAAATCTATATGGGCAGTTTGTAAAAATCCTGCAGATAGTTTTGTTGCCTATGACAGAATTAACAATGTCCATAAAAATTACTCTCCTCCCCATCACTCTGCAGATGAAAATACAGCAGCCGGAATCTACATGTGCAGTGTGTTTACATAGCAGGCTCCTCCTTCGGTAGTCAGATACAGGATACAAGCATAGCAACAGCCAGGAGCTCAGAGAACTAAGAAGTTGCTCAGGCAAAGTGGCCTAGACTGAGCATGACTTATATAGACAAGCAATCTAGGAGGCGGGCCAGGAAGTGATGGAAGGGAAGGAAATAAAACCCAGAGGATAGCAGATGATGCCCATAGGTGAGCACAGACAAACACACATGTGAAAGGGATCAGGAACAGGACTGCAGCAAGGAGGTAAGAATACACAAACAAGAAACTGCAGGCTAACTTGTGACAGAGCATCTCTTCTATGTACTTTGCATACAAATGAATTTTAGCAGATCCTATAGAAAAATAGAAACTATCTGCACTACTACTATCTAGAAAAATACTGGTATTTTTTTTTATGACTGAATAACTTTCATAAACTGACTTTTAGTTATTATAAACACGGATCCCAACTGTCCCTTATTTGGAAAATCCACTGATCTTTTTTTTCTTCTAAGTTATTCCTCTTGTTGGTCTGATGTATAGACCTCTGATAAACACAATATTACTTATTAAGAGTTACATTACACTATAATGGCTGAAACACACCTACTGGTATGTAATGAATGCATTTCCACAACATACGTTAACACATATTATGTGCATTGGCCTTTTGCAATGCAATTTATTTTCAATGGCACCCCAAATAACTAAGAAAACACAGCTCTGCAACACACCATAACTGACAGTAACACCATATTGTGTGATATTTTGTGTCCAAAAAATACTGCATGTCAGTTCCTTTTCATTGGCAGCCCATTCAAAATAATTGAACTGTCTTAATGCAACACAAACAAATGACACAAAATGCATTAACGGGCAGGAACAGAGAGATTGGGAATGGGCTTTTATCCTTTGGACCAAATTCAGTATTATTACGTTTGTTTTTTTAATAGTCAGTATAAAGTAAAAGTAGTGGTGAACTCTTCCATACATTAATGCATATTCACTATGTAAGCTCAAGTTGTAAACCTTTTACACTGTTTTTGCCAGAACCACAATTAACCATGGCATGATGTGTGCACCACCACCTCCTTATTCTCTCTTGGATGCCCTAGACCAGGCCCTAACTGGTCATGGGGCTCACCGGGCATTTGCCTGGTGGGCCGGGCCTCCTGGATAGGAGAGGCGATCGGGCGGCACATAGAGGACCTAGCCACCTCTCCTATCCAGCTCCTGCATGCGGTCGATTCCTGTATGTTCCCCCTGCAGCCGCTCCCCCTCATCTCCAGCGGCCCCCTCCCTCACCTCCTCCAGCAGCCCCCTCCCTCATCTCTTCCAGCAGCCCCCTCCCTCATCTCCTCCATCTCCTGTTTCTCACTCTCTTTTCTCTCGCTCGCTCTCTCTCTTTCTCGCTCTCTTTCTTGCTCTCTTTCTCTCTCTCTCTCTCTCTCTCTCTCTCTTTCTTTTTTTTATAGTTTTCTCTCTGTCTCCTGTTCCTCTTCTTTCTTGCTTATTTTCGTTCTTTCGTTCTCTCTTTCGTTCTCTTGTTGATTACTATAGGCAGACAAACTCAACAAAAAATTTGCAAAACTTTTTGGCCGAACACGAAGAAAAGGCAGGATGTTGCCTCAAGTTGGGTTTTTCCAACAGGCACAAGGGATCTTCATTGCTTAATGTAAAAAAAAAATAACAAATGAAAAATTCCTTTAGAAGAGTGAATGATGTGTGACATAAACTTCTAATGCTGGGAATAAAATGCCCCCCCCCAAAAAACAAAACAACCCCTTTTTGGAAAGTAGACACCCCAAACTATTTGCTGAGCGGCATGTTGAATCAATAGAAGAATTTATTTTCCCCTCTCGTCTTTCAGGACAGCTCCTTGAGAGACCTCGGCTCCTCCCCACGTGAGGAAACACCTCCACCCTAAATGAAAACACTGTCATTCCTCTCCGATCTCAGTTTTTGTGTTTCCTCCAGTGAGGAGACATCTATTGGAGGACTCTTTAAGTGCTGTCAGGGGACAGCGGTACCTGGGGTTTTTTTTCCCTTGGTTGGAACAGAGCAGCGTGGGGTGAAGGCCGGAGAGCCGGCTGCTATCCCCCAAGATTAACGCTGCTAGGGCAGGGCTGCGGCCTCTGTGGGCAGAAGAGAGCGGCACTAACCTGTCGGCCGCCCCCGGCCCCCTCTGGAGAGTTGCGGGAGCCGGGATGTCCTTGTGCGGAGATCTGGAGAGATCGGGGGGAGGAGTCCCGCTCCAACATGAGCGCGCCGGGCCGGATGACGAAAGACGTAATTTCTGGCGGAGGGGGCGCGGGCTTCTCCCGGGGTCGTGGCTTCCGGCCGAGGCCCGAAGCACAAGATGGC